GGAGCCATTGTGATAGGAACCATTGAGCGCCCTGAACAACTCTTCGACCCTTGTGAAGAACAACAAAATCATCGGCGTCCGAACTCGCGATAGATCTGATTCAGCAGGGATTCAAATACATTCACACGGAGTCCATCCAGATCGCAGTTGCCAAGCCTCTGCCGACTTACTTACAGTCGCTAACTAAGGACCTCCGTGAGAGCTGTATGCGAGGAAACTTGCACATATGGTTTGGGAACTGTTTACTAATGTGCGTACCGTTCAGCTGCATGAGTTGGGTTGCTTTCCTTTCTGGGAAAGCCATTGCACCTACAGCAGGCATGCCTCCTGTTTCAAGTTCTTTAGGACAAGAGAAATAACATGTGCATGCCTCTCCACAATGCCTCGTTGGCACATAGGCCATTGTTTAGGGTGGACCTGAAAACAAGTACTAGTAGGAATAGAAAAGAAGAGGATGAACCTGGACGTCTAACTGCACAAAGGCCATTGTTTAGGGTGGACCCGAAAACAAGTACTAGTAGAAAAGAAGAGGATGAACCTGGACGTCTGGCTGCCAAGGGTTCTGACAAAGCATTTTCGGGGCATGCACATGCATAGAGGCATCCTTGCAATTAGTTATGATGATGAGCAGAGGCAACATGTCTTTTTTTTTTTTTTTTTTTCCAAAAGCCCAGGTTGTTGTAGAGGTGGGATACTAGACCCATGGCAGTCACCCACAGTACTCGGCCACTCAGTTGTCCAGCTGAACCCCTTTCTTTTTCCTTTTTCCCTCTTTTCCTTCCCAAGGGAGGACCGGTCACCCTACGTACCCATGAGCAGAGGAACGGGCAATCATGCCTGCCCCTTCCCCCCCCCTTATCTCGAAAGGGGGTGGACACCCAGCCCATGTGGCTGAAAGGTAAACACACGTGACCCTTGATGAATAAGCAGATCATGATCATGAGTTCAAATCGGGTTTTAGGATCCAAGTCCCAGTTACCCGAATCATTGATTTCTGTCCGCAGTCTAGGTGAGATTTGGCCCCAGGTAATGGTCTGGCAGCACCACTCTCCAAATGTGCAAATGAAATGAATATTTCGCACAAACACGGGAACATACATGTGCATTTGGTGAGTGGTGCAGCAGGGCCCAATAGGATCAGAATGGATGCAATAATTTATGGTATGGCGTACGGACGTGGCACACTCCGTCCCCTTTGACCCCCCGGCCCCCCCCCCCCCCCCCCCCCCCCCCCCACCACCACCACAGGAGCCCTTACCCCCCTTAGCTGGAGCAGAAACGGAACAGGAAAAGAAAACCGGGAGGGGGGGGGGGGTGACAGCACTACTAATCCCAAAGAAACATTACTGTGCACATCTGACAACATAAGGATTCGATTTGGCCACACCTTCCGTGTCCATCTTCTTCTTCTTCTTCGTCGTCTTCTTTTTCCCGGTCCCTTTTGCCCCTTTTTGTATGCTGGCCGTATATTTTGTTTCTTTTCTTTCCATAATAAAGCCGGGAAACTGACCCCGCGTCCCTCACAAGAATGCCGCAGCCGAACCGGGCTGGGAAAGGCACGCCCGCCTCGGGAAAAGAAAAAGAAAAAGAAAAAGACAAAGAAAAGAAGAATCGGAAAAACAAGGATCAGAAAAGGAACTGTGACTGCCCGTGGAACGAACGGGCACGAAAGTTCCTGACGAGTGGGTGCCATTGGTGTTCTTTCTTTCCTTTTTTTTTTGCTTTCTTTTGTGTGTGTTTCACTGTGAAAAGTCAATACAACATAGGGGGGGGAAAGGGGGTGTAGGGCCTCGCTCCACGGCTCACCAAATGTGCAAAATGAGAATGGATCCACTGCTAGAACATGCAAAGATATGCCACCATCATTTTTGTCTTTTGTGCATGTGGTGAGTGGTGGAGCAAGACCCATAGGCATTTGGAAAAGAAATGGTGGCGCATCTCATAAGATGCAGTTTGCAATTGCACTTCGGGCACCCTAACCTGGCCCGAAAGCTGGGTTGTATACATTGCCCAAACTGCAATTTGAAACTGTATGTTGGCCCATAGTGCAATTATAACTCATTTTTGTGACTCCTGCGTAGTTTCCCCTAATAATAAAATTTAAAAATGGACCCAAGAGCCTTAGCTCAGTGGCTAGACACATGAACTGTTGAAATGCAGACCCGAGTTCAAATCCAAACGATGGAACTTGATGAGTATATATATTTAAGGATACTTTATTATTATACAAAACCGGGGGCCCAAGTCCCATTAGCGACGGTCCTGAGGCCCGAGTCCCACTAGCGGCGGTCCTGTTCCTGTCTTCAGAATTACGCTTGCACAGCGGGCAGTGTTGTGCAGCCTTATTTTCTCCGTGGGGCGAAATAATATTCCAGCTGTGTAGCACGCTTGCAGTTCTTCCACATGGAGTACCTTTAAAAAAAAGAAAACCTTAATTGTGGGTACACCCATGAACCGTTGACATATTAAAAAAAAAAAACAAAAAAAAAAACTGTTGACATACAGACCAGAGTTCAAATGCAGCTGATGGTTCTAGATTTTTTTTTTTTTTTTTTTTTGGGGGGGGGGGGGGAAGGGGGGGAGATGGTTCTAGATTATTAAAACCGGACATTTCTTTTTTTTCTTAAAAAAAAAAAAAAAAAAAAACCCGGATATTTCTGAATTGTCTGAATTGCCTGGGGCCGGTCAGCTCAATGATGACATCTCAAGGTCGGAAAAAAAAAAGAAAAAAACGCAGAGGAGCTGCCCTCGTCGTCGCCGAGTATGGCCCCAGCTGCACTGAGCTCGACATTCATTAAGGTGAAAGGGGAGCTGCAGTGACTGGCCATTGCTCGGCGCTAGCACCGCCTATTTCCCCATCGGCAATGCCTGCCCACCCCTCGTCCCCGTGATGAGGGACTGGTACAGCCTTGCTCTCGCACCACCGCTGTGGTGCCAACCTAACCCGCGGGCTGGGGACAGATCCGGGTTGGTTGGTGTTCCCCCGTACTATAAATAGACTAGTGAGAGGATGAGATAGATGAGTACTAGCAAGAAAAATGAGATAGATGAGAGAAGAATATAGCTTAAAAAAAAAAAAAAAAAAGTAAGGAAGTGCATCTTTCCATGTTCTTGTGGTGAATTCATTATTTAAGTCCACCCTTGGAGAGTAGTGCAGCGAGGCCCAAAGGTGAAGGCTTTCCTTTCTCGAACAGACCTTGGCCATCTGGGGGCTAGTCCCACTAGCAGCATTGAGCTACCTCAATGCCTGAATGTGCAGAAATGGTGTTGAGTTAAAAGCAGGTCCAGTGTCCTCAGAAGAGGAGATAGAACACTGGTTGGAAACCAGGGGGAAGGTCCCACTTGCACGGATTATGCGATTCTGACCATTGATCTGTGCTACGGTCAATATCTCTTAATTCGTGTAAGCGGGACCTAGCCCCAGGTCCATCACCGCCATTTCTGAAAAGGGACAAACAATGAGGAAGCACAGAGTTCACCTCCTGTGCCTCAATAATAAGCCAACGTGAAGTTGAAGAGAATGGCCTTGCCCTACCGGGGGGTCCATGGAAATGGGGGGTGGCAAGGAGTGTCCCACAACAGGGAGGTGGTGGTCCCCATTACCAGAACAGGAGCAATGCTAAGGTAGTGGGACTTGGTGGTCCCGGGGGCAAGTCCCACTAGCAGCGGGTTGAGCTACCTCAATGCCTGAATCTGGGCGCTTTTGCGGAGATGTGCAGAAATGGTGTTGAGTTTGCTGAACTGCATGTCTGCACAAACACGTCCAGATTCGGGCGTTGAGGTAAGCTCAACGCTGCTAGTGGGACTTGGTCCCGGGAAGCGGGCCCGGCGTCCTTTACCTGGGGCCTTGTTAAGAAAAAAAAAAAAAAGGAAAAGGGAGAAAAAAATAAAAATAAAAATAAAAATAAAAAATGGGGAGAATAAAGAAATGCCCGCGCCGCTTCGCTACTGTGAGTTCCGAAGGGAACCTAAGAAAAATAGACTGAGGGTGCACTTAGGTAGGACTTTTTCGAATGAATCTGGTCGGGAAGGGCGGTCTGGTACGTTAGACGAAAGTCGTACAGCGGGTAGGGGTACCTGGGGTGCCGTTCCGACGAGAGAAAAATTCCACCCTAGGACTTTTTGACTGAGCCTGGGCGGTTCTGTTCTGTGGTCAGCCACGTTTCATTCAACGAACAGTTATTAAGTAGTTGTACGCAGCCATCGACTACCCAGTCAGGAGGCTGAGGTCGCCTGCGGCTATTATTTATTTTATTTATACACAAGTAAGGTCGTCCTGTATGAATGAATCTAGCCGTAGTTGAGGTCATATACACTCGACGAGTAACGTGAGATG